CCGATTCTATTTTATCTCACCCAATTGTGAAACATTCGTGGTCTCGGTGGGATTTGGACCCATCTCAGCAGGGAGTGCTTTAGTACAGCCAATATTATACCAATTGTGCTACGAAGTCACACCGAGGACCACCAATTGAATCACACTTGGGTCAATTTAACCACCCAGCCTACAGTACATATGAAATACACCAATACGGATACAGTAAGCTGACTGCTTAGCAGGAATTCTTAAGCAATCACATAGAATTCACCACAATACTGGCCAGGCAACAGGTATTAGAATTTTAACGGTCTGTAAGTTTTAACTCCTGTAACGTCCCTGTTGGCGAAATCTATCGATACCCTTTTCACCTTATTCAACTATACATTCCAAGCAATGTATAAAAACGGAAGCACGGACGGACAGTGCTCGCAAAAACCATGCCATTGTAGGCCGTTCGCTAACGAAAATACGTGAATTTAAATTTATTCTTAAGAGATATTAGGGAGCAAACTTGATTAAAACGAGTAAATTCAAACGTTATTCCACTTTAGACGTGTTTTTTTTTATCTAACTTGGACCTTTTGTTTTCTTTTTCTCTGTCTGCACAGATGTGATTTCTGGAACTGCCGAACCACAGGTGAAGCGCACGTCGTCTGGGTGCGTGGCTTATCCGGGGCTTGTAGCTGAGGCTACAGCGGGCAAACTGCTCTAGATCCCAGTATCGCGAAAAAATTCCATTTTGCTCGTCGAAAACAAAGGGGGGAGAGAGAGGGAAGACGTTCGGGATCGTCGACAGCTTGAAAACATGGTTTTCCTACAAAACAGCTTAATTCATGACAAAACATTCTGAAGGATTATTTTCTCTTTCTGTCGTCCTAAAATTGGTTCAGCAGGCCATGAAGGTATGAGTTCCAAATGCAAAATTTGAGCTGCAAATGACGGCGGTTTGACAAAAACCAGGACGATGAGATATGTGCAAAAAGCATGCTCTCCAATGGCTTAAAAAGGGTTTTATTTGGGACAAAGCGATTTAACGATGTCTTTATATCAGCCTGAACTGGTTCAGAAAGACTTGCAGAATTCATCCTAGCGAATTACGATATTTACCTTAGCCACAACCTATACACCTTTTAATTGGGAAATCTTGAATTCAAGTGTAAAATTTAGTAGGGATCGAAGGTATTCAGCAATTTAGAAACTTAATTAAAACCCAAATCTATAATGTCACCTTAAGCATAAAATTTCAAGAAGACGTATGTGCCTACAAAATTATAACGAGAACGAAATTTTCAGTGTATCTCTTCTGCAAAATATATGTGAATTTATAAGACAGTCAATTGAAATCAGAAAACGTCGCATTACTGAAGTAGCCAATTTTAAAAAATATACTATTTGTAGGTCGACAAAATGAAGCTCCCTTAAAAGTCGGCATCTTGATGCGACTAAAATATGTTAATATTAGGTTGCATGGCGATCAATCTTAAAACGCCAATTAGGTAAGTTGTTTGAGTCGAAAGCATACTTCAGAAGTTGGTCGCCATTTAATGGGATAGGGAATCTAATGTAGGGGTAGAGAAGAAGAAGAAGAAGAAGAAGAAGAAGAAGAAGAAATGATGATGATGATGATGATGATGATGATGATGATGATGATGATGATGATCGATGATGATGATGATGATGATGATGATGATGATGATGATGATGATGATGATGCTGAGGATGATGATGGTGAGGATGATGATGATGATGGTGGTGTTGATTATATTTATGATCAAGAACAAGAAGACACACCGATCACTGGAATCAAGTGTTAGTGGTCTGGGCTTTCGAACTCTAACTGCAGTCCATCGTCAAAGATAAAAGCTTCAACGAAAAAAACAAGCAACAATCATAGGGAGCAGAGGCCAATCTGCCACCAGTGACGTCAGTCCGGAGATGGCTTCGCAGAGCTATAGATGCCGGCTCCAGATCAACAAATTGATTGTCTGAATTCCCATCCGAGGCTCAGGGTTTAATCGACCTGTCTTGCTTCCGGCAGGGGCGATTATCTTCGCGATCGCTAAGTTAAACTCATGACCCATCTCGTAGGTGTGGGAAGCCAATTGTACTTCACACTATCTACCCAGTCACCCCTGCCACCCCCCCTGTTGCTTTTTTTTCGTTGACACTTTAATCTCTGACGACGGACTTCATTAAGCGTTCAAAAGCTCAGACGAATATAACCATGATTCCCGTGACCGATTTGCCTTCTTCCCTACCTATACACACACCATAGACTCAAACATCCACATCAATTCGGAATCTAATGTAGCTTAACTTAGCTGGCGTCCGATTTGCATCTCCCTGTCGCACTGTATCAGGACAGCAAAGTTATTACTTTTTACTTTGGAAGATACTCCCGCCACAATTATCATATACGATATGATTTATATATATGCCTCTGCGCCGGCAACATAAGGGAAATCAGGATGGCTACCTTTGTGGGAAAGTGACTGAAGACACTTCAAACTGAATTTTCGTGGACTAATTTAAACCACTTCGTAACCCAAAACTGGGAGTATCTATGGCAAATTATGACGAAAGGAAATGTCTCATAATATACACATGATATACAGTAGCCGCCGAAGCCCATGCAACGCCAATTATGAAATATGCTTGGACACTTTGGCATATATTTGAAAACACTATTGTGATTCATTCAGATTATTGAATTCTGCAAAAACCTTTTACTTAGTTAAATCGTCATTTTAGTTAGGTTTATTATGAGAAATAACCATTAGTTTTGGGGAAATTGGGAGTAGGCTCATATAGAAGGAATTTCCTATTTAATTTTGGGGAAATTGGGAGCAGTCTCATATCGAAGGAATTTCCTATGCTAATTTTGGGGAAATTGGGAGTAGTCTCATATGGAAGGAATTTCCTATGCTATTAAAATTTGGAGTAGGCTCATATAGAAGGAATTTCCTATGCTATTACGAAAGAGCAACCGCACATATGGCGCGGAAACTTTAACCAAATGAGAACCAAAGTGCGCAGCGTAGACTGGAGGGAGGCATTCACCGGGTGTGTCCACGAGGATTGGACGGTGTTAAAGACTGTACTACACGGGCTAATCACCAGTTTCTGCCCCATCTCGAAAATGAAAGCCACAGATAGGCTCCAGTGGCTAATAAACACGCTGAAGAGGGAAGTTAACCGTAAAGAAAAGCTG